CATTGTTTTGGATATCTAAAAGTTATTTCATAAATAAGAAATATTAAGTTCAATAACATTTATAAAAACGATGGTCTGTGGCAAATATTCAAATTCTGGGACATTCCAGCAAACATTATTGTATATATTCAGATGATGTAACATTCAGGCACCCTAGTAAGCGAGCAGCTCTAGATAGAATCACAGGTTGAAACTGACAGTTTAAGACCATATTTTGCTTCCAAAACTTGATATTTCTTAAAACACCCTTCAAAAGATTTGTATGAATATTTGCATAGAATGTACCATGCTTAAAAAATACTAATATGTATTTTATTTGCAACAATTACTCAACATTACAGGCAGACAAATCACAAACACACATTTATAACAGGGCTATTGCTACATATAAGGATGTTAAACTGATTAGATCATGACTGTTTTTTTTTTTTCCTTTGCACTCCTGTCCTGGTGTTCGAAAACATCAACCTTAATCTTGGGCTGTGTCTGTGTTTTCTGCTCTTGCGTGTTCCATTGGACGTCGATGGTTTCATCAGACCAGCAACAGCTCTATGTCACTTGCAAAACTTGAATTCTCATAGGAGAATTATAAAGTTCTTTTCTGTTTTCCCCACTTTTCAATTGATTTTGCTTTGAATTTGGGATTTGGAAAAACCTGAATTTCTTGAGCAATGCTAAGAAGGGATTCCCATATGGAAAACCTGGTCAAGATCCGCTGCAGACCCATCAAGAAGGCCCACAAGCAGGCTCTCTGGAAAGCAGAGTAGACAGCTTGATGAGGGGGGAATAGCTGAGACTCAGGGGCTCCAGGACAAAGTCCATGTGGCAACAGCAAAGCTCAAGCCCATTTTCATCAATTTAGTCTCAGTTAGAAAGTGCCCTGGAAGCAGAACCACCAGCCTCACTCAGCAGTTAATGAAGAACCTTCAAAGAGTGAAAGAAGGTTGACAACTTACTTTGAAAGGACAAGTCCTGACTTAGCCTTTATGATTTGTAAGATAGAGAAGGAAAATATTAACATTAGGGAAAGTTGACATGCCTGGTTTCATTAGTTAAAGTTAGAACTATACCTACTTCTTATTTCGTTATATAAAGTTGAGCTTCTTCCTAGGTTTTTTTTTTTTTTGCTACGGAAGCCAAACATCTTTCTGGTGATATTGACAGATTTGGTTTTTATAGTTCCAAGGAGACGGTAGATTTGGAATCTTGAGACATATTTGCTCCTTGAAACCACATTTGTTAAAATGTGGGAGAAAATTGTGTTTGCTAAAATTATAACTTAAAGTCATGAGCAGTTGATTTTACCCTTTAATCCTAGTGATAATTAACTCGACCTGACATTACAGACCTCACTCTATTTCATTTAATCTCTATAAAAGGACTTCATAAATTTCTTTAAATTTAGATAATTAGCTAAAAGCACATTTCCTATTGTTAAAATGTATTATGAGTAAAATGAGGGAACTCTGTAAGAGATTAACTTTAAAATCCTAGAATGTCAATGCGTTATGGCATGGCTCACAGCTCTGTACCCTTTAGGTCATACACAGATGAGGAAGTTGCTCCCTCTGAAGACAGACTTGCGATGCTCAAGCCTCATGTCGGTGATGCTTAGGGCCTGGAGAAGAGGATCAACCAGGCACATGACGGCAGTGACCCCTGAGTCTCCAGGCCGTGCTCCCTCTGGAAAAGCGCCAGAATCCTAGAGAAGTAGAGGCTGCAGTAAAGAGTGGGACAGATCCAAGCTGCATTCCTAGGATTTCTGTTTGAAGTTTGGTGTTGAAGGGAGAAAAACCAGCAAAGCTGCCTTGTAATTTTAGTTTTGGATAGGTGGAATGACAAGAGGAACAAGCCTGTTACTTTAGGGCCAACAAGAGAGGAGCATTTTGTAACAGTAAACTGTGGTTCTTTAAGGCTGCTATAGCATGGCTGATTCCCATAAGGGGATAAACTGGGCCTGGCCATCTGGAAAGTGAGAAGTAACGCGGGATGGGGAGAAAATGGCCATTTGCAAGATGCCCCAGGGAGTTCCACTTTCTCAGTCAAAGAAAGGGAATGAATGATGGGTCCACGGTTCCAGATATCCAACTCCTGGCATCAAACACAGACTTCTCCGTTGGAGTTTTGGTGACCTTTCACACTCCAGGGTCATCGACGAGTTTACTTGTCATATTTACTGTTGTTTACAAGGTAATACTGACTTACAGTAGAGCTCCAATGTTCCCAAAAATCAGAGAGAGGGGTCAATAAATAATTAACTTGGTTTCCAAGGGAACAGTTTCCTGAGTGGACTGAAGACAGTCACTGAGACAACCTTCACATGTCCTGGCCAATGAAGGCTAGACGTAGACAGTGACCAGATAAGCAAAATTCCACATAGATCTTAGGACAAGGAATGCATAGGTGGTTTTAGGGCCAAGGAAGCAAATCAATACGTTCTTTGTCATAACTAACAGGCTACCCTGGAGAACGGAGCTGCTGGGGCAAGCTCAGGACCCCTGGGAAACTCGGGAGCCTAAGCAGCTTTCTGCATCCTCACTGTAAGTGTGAGAGAATCACAGATTTCCCTCAAAGAATAAAGTACACCAAACTTGAATTAAGCTGCTATTGCTTATCATTGCAGTTAAAAGGGAAGAGGTTTTTAGTGTCTATCTAGCTAGGCGTTCTTTGAGTTTATTTTTTGTTTTTATTTTTAAACAATTCCAGATGTACAGAAAAGTTGCAAACATGGTACAAAGAATTCTTGTAAACAAACCCTTTATTGTTCATCCAGATTCACTTTTCCACACTTGCTTGATCATTCCTACTTCTGCCTATCTCTCTCTCTCTCTCTCTCCATCCATCCACTGCTCCATTGAATCTGTCTACTGCTCTATCCATCCATCCACCCATCCATCATCTATCTGTATAAAATCTCAGAGATAATGTCCCTTCCCCTCAACTCCATCCAGTGATCATTTTGTAAAATAAAGAACATTCTCTTATACAGCCAGAGTACAATGATCAAAATCAGGATACAATGCTATGATCTAATCAACAAACCTTATTCAACTTCCACCTATTGTCTACTGCTGTCCTTTACAATCAAAGGGGGGAAAAGCCCTCAGGTCCAGGATCTAATCCAGGATCACACATTACATTTAGTTATCTCGTTAGTCTCCTTGAATCTGGAACACTTCCTCAGTCTCTCTTTGTCTTCCATGAGTTGACATTTTTGAAGCATACAGACCATTTCTTTTGAAGAAGGTCCCTCAATTTGCGTTTGATTGATGTTTCCTCAAGATTATAGGTTCAGGTTCTGTCTTTTGGCAGGAAAACCATAGAAGTGATATTGTGTTCTTCTTGCATTATATCAGGAGGCCCATGACATCTGTTTGTCTGACAACTGGTGATGTTAACGCCAATCACTCTGTTAAAATTACCGTTATTTATTTTAATACTCAAATTGTCCCATATCTGGCCAGTGGAAGCCCCCTTCAACCTGACCATTGTGGTTTGTGACATGTCCCCATAACTTTTTGAGCAGTTTATAACTTTCTAAAATAGAAAGATATCCCAGCCTCAGTCCTAAAATTAGCTATTTCTCCAAAGGCTTGTAATTCCTTTTACTAGAAAATATTGAGAAACAAGATCTGCATGGTGCATGCTAGATGCGGGCAATGTGTGTGTGCACGAGTGTGTATATGTTCATTTACAATATGGAAATACAGTTAGGTTCAATTAATTTTGTTTATACTCCATTTTGGGTTTCTATCTTTATTGATTTTATATATTTATATTTTAAGCATTTGAAATATAATGTGGATCTAGAAGTCAAAACTATAGAAAATATATAGTTAGATAAATGTCACTCTCCCCACATCCCTTCTATCCCATTCCTATTCCCAGTTTTTTCTGCCCTATTTCCAGCCACCACCACCCACTGTAACCAATCTCATTATTTTCTTATTTATTCTTCTTATGTTTTACTTTGCAGAAGTGAACAGATACAGGTATATTTTTCCCTTATTTCTTACCTAAAAAGTACATAGTATAGATACAGTTTTTCTTTTTCCACTTAACAAAAGATACCGGAAATCACCCCGTATCGGTTCAGACAAGGAGTCTTTGTTCTTTATCATAGCTGCATAGTACTCCATTACATGGAGGTATTCAATTATTCTCTGATGTTCAGCCACATCGTTTTTTGTTTTCTTTTTTTCAACATTTCTCAGTTACAATGAATACTGCAAAGAGTTACTTTGTGCATAAGTATTTTCTTATTTTTGGAGGTAAATCTCTAGAGGTGGAATTATTGGCACAAATCGAAAACATACACACAGTATCTTTAGATATTGCTAAATATCCCCAGTTTGCATTATGTATAAGATTGCCTGTTTCCCACAGCCCTTCCAAAAGAATGTGCTGTCCTACTTTTTAATTTTTACCAATTTAAGTGAAAAGTATCTCAATACTGTTTTAATTTGCATTTCTCTAACTATGAATGAGGTTAAACATCTTTTCACATGTTTAAGGACATTGTGTCTTTTATCCAACTTTCTATTGGGTACATGCTTTTTCAAAACTTTGCTGTGAATTGCGTTTTCCTTTCAATTTGCCAGGCAGAAGCTAGAAGTTATACATTTGCTTAACATTCATCTTGTCCCTTGATTTTTTCATAATAAAATTGTGTCTGCAGTAGTTTTACTTCTTGATATGGCAGTGTTCTTAGTGAAATTTTAATCAAGCTGCCTATAACCTGTACACTTTTAAATGTTCATTTTTATAATTTTTTTTTTTTTTTTTCTGTCGCCCAGGCTGGAGCGCAGTGGTGCAATCTCAGCTCACTGCAAGCTCCGCCTCCCTGGTTCACGCCATTCTCCTGCCTCAGCCTCCCGAGTAGCTGGGGCTACAAGCACCCAACACCACGCCTCGCTACTTTTTTGTATTTTTAGTAGAGACAGGGTTTCACCGTGTTAGCCAGGATGGTCTCGATCTCCTGACCTCCTGATCCGCCCGTCTCGGCCTCCCAAAGTGCTGGGATTACAGGCATGAGCCACCGCGCCCGGCCCATTTTTATAAGTTTTAATTGATTAAATTCTGTACCAAATTATCACCGTCTTGCATGCCTCATGCCTTAAGAAAACCTAATGATTCCCCAGCTCATTTCCAGGCAGCCCTGACATGGGACTAAGAGAAAAAAGTGGCCCTCTGACGAAGGGGTTCCGGGAGCACATGCTTGAAGGGTAATCCCACAACACAACACACACGCAGGGCCATCCTACCTCCTCTCCCACCATGGCGCCTGGTCCCACCAGCCTCCAAGACCTTGCCAAAAATTGGCAGGCTGAGATGTACCTTCCCAACTCACCAACCAGCAGAAAACATTTATCCAGTAGACAGCCATAGAATCCCTGGTTTTAAGATTTGCCTGCAGTCTCTTCTTTGTCCCCAAAAAGCAGCGTCCCTCTGATTTAAGCCTCATCTTCTCCATAATTTGCAAGAGTAGGAGGAGGGAATCGGTAATTCAGTCATTAAATGTTATGACCTACTAAGAGAAAGGCTCCGATGGCCCTGGATTTTCTTACCCTTTTCAACACACTGTCCCCCGGACAGCGGTGATGAGTTCAGGTGCCTTCTCTCCTCCCTTCAGCCTCCAGAATCTCTTTGGTGTGGGAGAGATTAATAATCCAAATAAAACTGCCATGGGAGGAGGAATGGAGGAATTTTTAAAAGTCACTTGTCTACTTTCTGCATCTCTCAGGTCAGCCCAGGCAGGAGGGAGAATTAGTGCCACCGGGAGAGCTGTCACACTGCTGGCCTGAGAAGGGCCCAGCCTCTCACGTGGAATGGCCCCCGGCAGCCTGGGAGTCCCCAGGCAGATGCGCTGGGGAGGAGGTGTGGGGCAGATGGCGACAGTAGCTGTCGGGAAGGAAGGCTAAACATCGTGGGCCGAAGTCAAAGATAAACTTCCATCCTCCTCCTTCTCTCCCCACATAACAGCCAAAAGATGCTGGTTATTTCAAGGAGTTTCTAAGAATGGCATTTGATATATATCACGACCTTCCCAGGGAAGCTGGGGATGAGGCATCAGAGTTTCCTCTCCGCTCTGCAACAGAGACACCCCAGCACATGCACGGGCCCCACCTGAAGTCGCCATAAACACACATACACATGCTTTCCTTCTCATTGAGAAAGGAGCTGGCAGTATTGGGAGTAGAAGTCGTTCCACTTGCAAGAATGGATGACCCAGATCCAGCATCGTCTGGCGATCACTGGCTGTTGGTCTGACCCCAGTCTCCGACGGTGTGCTGGATTTCCCACGCTTGCGTGGTACAGGTCTGGAGCACAAGCACGTGTTTACCCAAAAGATCCTTCTTCATCTCCAGACACCGCTTGGTATCCCTGTTTCTGACGGCTCCTCCCTGGAGGGGAAGAGAGACAGAGCCAAGGTGCTGAAATGCCTCAGTAATTCATCATCTCATCTGGCCCTGCTCTCCCTGCTGCGCTCAGCCACATTCTTGAAGGACCTCTCAGTCCTCCACAAGTCATCCAGGGGAGAAAAGGAAGCAGGATGTAGGATGAGACCACCCAGTGCTTCCTCTACCAGCCCCATGGCAAAGTGACCAACCAGGCGGCGTTGCTCTGGCTTCCTGTGATGCCCTCAGCCTCTTCTGAGATGGAAGCGTTGGGTCAGTACTGACTACCACGGAATGAAGGCATCTGTGAGAATGGCGGGCCTTCTCAGCCTGGCCCTCCTTTCCACGTCCTCACCCCTGACCCCATGAGACCCATCAGGGTCACCTTCACCTTGTGCTTCTCTCCCTCTTCAGGGAAACTGTGTCATGGGCCTGGAGCAGGAGCTACATTCAGGAACCTCAGCCTCTGAGGCAGCCTCCTGCCTCTCCTGTTGCGGGGGCTTCGCCAAGGTTTATGACTGGGAACGTGATAGGCATCAGTGCTACAATGGTAGGGTTGAATCCTTGCTCTACCATATACGAACCGTGTGGGCTTGGGCAAATTACCTGCTCTCTCCAAGTCTCAATGTCAATCTCATCTATAAAATGGGTTCAGAGTTAATACTAAGGTTAAAATTAGGGTTCATATTGATGGACCATCTTGGGCCTGACACATGAAACATGCAACAAATCTTAGTTCATCTCTGCCACTCCCCATTCTCAAAGGAGAAGAGAAAGGAAGGGCCATCCTTCTCTTTGATCCTGTGTGATTCCCACAACCTCCCTGAGCTTCTTCCCCCTCATCTTCATATCTCAGCAACTGACAATCCTGCCATCTGTCCAAACTACTGTTTGTACTCTCCTGGTCCTGCCCTCTGCTCCCGGCCCTCTCTCTCCCACATCCCTCTCTACCCCTTTGCAGGACTCACATGATCTATATCAGTGCCTGGGTCAGGCTGTTTCCTCTTCATGCCCTGCACTCTGGTATCATCCTTAGGGTGCATAACATTCATTCTGATGGCTGGTGAGAAACCCTGACCTCACTGTCCCCCTTCAGACAAACTGCCACCAAGTTCTTGAACACCAAGCGGGACTGACTGCAGCTCTAACATCTCCAGATTTCTGCTTCCTCTCTCACAATCACCTCCCTGCTTCTCATCTCTTGCCATCAGAAACTGCCTCCAACGGCCCTTGCTCCCCCAAATTTGCCTGTCCCTGGATTCCCCGAAGCCCCAGCCACCCCTTTCCTCCTCTGGGCAGCCATCCAACATTGCCATTCAGGGCAACTCTTCAGATTCTGGAACTTCTCCTCCACCACCGCCACCGGTCCTCTCTCTTTGCTTCCAGACCACAGAGCCCTTGTGGACAGGGTCTGCCAACTGAGCAGGCCTGGCTCATAAACCTGCCCACACGGCCCCAGAGCTGGGCTTGCTCCCCAGGGTTCCTCTTCCAGGCCTCTTCAGCATGCTCTGTCTGTCAGCCCCCACCTGGCACTTATTTTAACTAAATGTCAAGAACACCACACTTCCATTCAATCCTCCCGTCCCCTGCAAGCCCTCAGCGATCCTGAGGACATGGCCTCACAGATGATCTCAAAGGAGCGGCCCCACGCCCACCTCACCGGCCAGCAGTCCCCTCTGCTCCCTGAGCCCCAGCCATCCTCGATGCTAGAGAAACACTCTTCCTAACATCCATCTTTTATTTCTCCCTCTTTGCAGATTCCTTTTCTACTGCCTTTAAACAAGTCCAAATGTCACAATATTTGAAGGACAAAATAAACCCAGACCTCAACTCTACTAACCCTTTCAACAAACATTCAGGTTTCCTCTCCCTTTCAGAATCAAATTCCCAAGCAACGAGGCAATAGCACACATTCGTTAAGATTCCGTGTTTGAATGCTGGGCATTTACTACACTGTGTAGCCCTCAGCAAATAATTGGACTCCTCAGTGCCCTGGTTAGTTCATGGGTGAGATGGAGTTAGTGATCATACTTCTCTTATGAAACCTATGTTTCATAAGAACTAAATGAGACAATGTTTAACCTCACACAGGGGCATGTATGTGCTCAGTAGGTCTTGGTTATTCTAATTTAGTGTGACCTTTTAGACAAAGTCAGTGGTCTATTTTCTATTTCCACTCGACTTCCACGTGACATGAGCTTTGACAGTGTTCCACACATCCTCTAGTTGCTTTCAAATTGTGTTCATCTGGATCTTACACATTTTTGTTTTGGGTTGGTTGGTTTGTTTTGTTTTTGCTTTTTTTTTTTTTTTTCTTTTGAGACACAGTCTCGCTCTGTTTCCCAGGACAGAGTGCAGTGGCATGATCTCAGCTCATTGCAACCTCTGCCTCCCAGGTTCACCTAATTCTCTTGCCTCAGCCTCCTGAGTAGCTGGGATTATAGCCGCCCGCCACCACGCCCAGCTAATTTTTGTATTTTTAGTAAAGATGGAGTTTCACCATGTTGGCCAGGCTGGTCTTGAACTTCTGGCCTCAAGTGATCTGTCCGCCTTGGCCTCCCAAAGTGCTGGGATTATAGGCATGAGCCACCGCGCCTGGCCGTTTTGGTCTTTGTTTTGGGGTGCTGCCTGTCAGAGTTTTTAAAGGATTTTTGTTTTTGTTTCTTTTTCACTTTTACAAAAGTAAGAGATGCTTCTTTTTTAACTTGAAAATATACTTTAAAAATATATAAAATACTTTAAAATAAATGGCCAGGGCTCTGGGCACATGGGCTACTGGCAGGTGAGGCGGGCATGGAGCAACTTTGAGATCATCCATGAGGTCATGTCCTCAGGATCGCTGGCAGCTTTCAGGGGAGGGGATGATTGACTAGAAGTGCATTTATTAAAAATATGTTTTAAAATATTTTATATATAAAGTATATAAAAGCACTCATAACAAGATAACATTGTATATGTGGTCTTTACATCTTGCTTCTTTATATAAATTTAACATTCTACATACATCTTTTCCAATTTTATTAACTTTTTGGAATAGATTTCTTCAGAATATCATTTGAATGGTTATATAATATTCAGTTCAAAGCATTCCCTACTGTTGGACATTTAATTTTTCCTTGTGTTTCACTGTGATAAGTATTAAGATATTTTCTACAGTAATCCTGGCCTACGTTCTATACTATTTTTTGAGTAAAGATATTGTCCTAAAAAAGAATCAGTGCCTTAAAAAGAGTTATAGTTAGTTTGGGTTCTGAGGAGCGTCTGGTTTTCCTACACGTGGGCAAGTTGCTTCTGGAGCTGTGCCAGTCTCCACGCTCACCAGCGGTGTGTGGGAGCACTCCTTCCCCACTTCATCTTTCCCCACACTTCCCACCCCTCACCATGAGCGCTCTCCTCCTCCTCACTACTCCTCACAGAGACCCTCTTTGTATTGTGAGCTGTTGCTTCACCCTGAAGATGGATGACCTTCCCCAAACGCCCCCTTACTTCAGTGGCATCACTATCTCAATGCAGTGCTCCTCAAGTTAAAGTCCATGTGTCTGACTAGGCCTTCTCTTCTTCAACTGGCTCCCCGCCCCATCACTGGATCTCTTGTGTCACAGGGGTCATAGCCTCCTCTGGTACACCCAAAACACAGAATCATGAAATCAAAGAAAACAAAGGGATGATCTAGTCTCATCTCCCTCTCAATTTTGGAAAATTTCTTTGGTAACTTTTTAGTAAATTAATTTGTAAGCTGTGTCTACAAAGAAAAGTGAGAACCAGAAGAGCCCAACATTCAATCAAGTATCATTTTTCATATCCAAAAGAACTGTAGACCTAAGAGGTAAGATGGATGGAAAAGGATTAGATGGAGTGAATCCACTCAAGACTAACTTAATATTAGGTAACACACCAGAAATTACATGATCACCTCCCTTTTCAGCTTTTGTAGTTCTTGACATAGTGGCCATAGAAATGGACCCAGCCTGTATGTTAGAATGGTTGGCAGAATTTCCCTGGATGTCCTGCCTTCCAGATCTCACAGCCAACCCAAACCTCTTTTCTGACAGTAGCCTCAGTCAGCTGAGAAGGCGATCATCCAAACTTTTCTTGGCAAGGCGACCTTCAAAATGTTTGGAATGCATAATTATTTATTTAGTAACAGTAGGCTGTTATCATGAAAAGAAAAAACAGAAAAAAGGATATGGAAAAATGAGAATAAAATTTTATCTAAAAATATTATTTCTTTAGAATACATTGTATCTTTAATTCATAGGAGATTTAGGATAAAGTGTAGCTATTAAGGGAATCAAATACATAGCACTTGCCAAAGATTCTGTGTATATTTACTATTTTTAAGTACTTGTATCTAAGAAAATGGGCATCTCACAGATTAATCTTGTGATAGCAATTTTAAAATGTGTATTTGAGTAATTAAATTGGTGACTTGATGGTGAAATTTTACTGACTTTATAAACACTTCTGAAACATTTAAGAGAACTTAAGAATTGAAAAATTTAAAGTCAGGTCAATGAAGTTCTTAAGAAAGGAAATTTAACGTATTAAATTTGTAAATACAGCTCATAATGTTTAATGGAATTTAATTTATTAAATTTAAAAAAAATCTTCTTTAAAGGGGATTGTCAAAACTTGTTAGCCTTACGGATAAAATAATAAGATTTGTAACCTGAACTTAAAAGCTTAAAGAAAAACCATGATTCTTTGAATACTCCTTTGCACCAAGTACCATGCTAAATGCTTTACACACACTATCTCATTAAATGTTTTAATTTATAACTTGAACACAGTGAATATTAATTTTTTAAAACCAAGTAAACTTGTAGTAGTTTTCTTCACACGAACAAAAAAGATATGACTGAGGACATCAAAAACTCATATTTAGTACCCTACGCTTGCCAGATGCTCAGACATGCTGTGCTTGGTGACTGCCATTGACGGAGAACTCACCACCATGCTCAGCAGCCTATTCTTCTGTAGGAAACCTGAAGCTGTGAGGCCTTTAGTAAGTCCTGCCCTTGCTCCTACATTAAGTCAAAATCTGCCTCCTTAATCTTTACCTATTGGTCTCAGTTCTGCCCTCCTGCGACATTAAACAAATCTACTCCCTCTTCCTCACAAAGACAGCGCCGCCTTTTCTCTATCCATAAGCCTAACAAGCCTTTCAAGCTCATATCTCCTGGCCTGCCAATCTTCCATTTGCTCTGCAACCATTTGTCGAGTGCCTGCCATGTTCTAGGGGTTGTGCCAGACGCTAGAGAAAAAACAGCAAACCCCAGGCCCTGCCCTCCAGCTCACAGCCAAATGAAAAGAAGCAAGTGAGCAGACAATTGCAAGAGACGGTGAGACTAGGGCTACAAAAGTGCCCCTGAGAGCACCAAGAGGAACCACTCAACTGACTCCTCTGGGCTCACGGAAGGCTTCCAAGGAGGTGACGTGTAAGGCCAGGGGAACACTTTGTAGTTGGTCTGGAGACGAAGTGGGAGGAGAGGGAATAATACCTGCAGAAAGGCTTAAGATAAGAGGGAACCTGGATTTTCATTGAATTACATGTAGTTCCATAGAACTGGAGCGTAAAGTGAGACGCCAGAGACTGAGAAGACATTACCCTCCTCCTCCTAATCGATATTGTCTAGTTCGATTAATCTAGGATGATTAATCGAAGCTTAATCTAGGATGCAAAAAACCTCTGAAACTGTAAGCAAATCTTGCACATTGGTTCATATGTATGTTTTCCTGGAGAGAGAGAGTCCATAGCTATCAGCGAATTCTCAAAGGCATCATAAACTTTGAAAAGTTAGAAACTGTTGAACTAGACTGTCCGCGTGGCACCTGAACCAAGCATAGTACCGCATTCAGAGACACAGTCACAGACAGAGCAGTAGCTCCCTCCAGGAGGCACTGCCCCTTCCTAACGAATTGGCCCAAGAGTGCAGAAGCTTTTGGAGCAACCCCATCCATTGTACATTCCCCATAGACTGTTGTCAGCCAAGACCCTCGAGTCATCGTCACATGAATTCTGCCAGATTCCCTCCACCCTGTCCTTGGTCATTTGATGTTGAAGTTAAAGGCAGGGCTTCTACATTAGCCCCCGTCAGATTTCAGCCTAGTGTTCCACACCCTCTGATAATCATTAATAATACATGGATCACAATGGCTAATGCGTATTGGACACTCTTCTGCTCCAGGCACCACGCTAAATGCTTTGCACACGCTATCTCATTTAATCCTCCCAAAAGTCACATACAGAAGATATTATCATCTCCATCATTTTATAATGAGGAAACTGAGCTTCAGAGAGGGTAAGGAACTTGCTGTACTGAGCTAGGACTTGTGCCCAAACTCTCAACTGTTCAGCTACAACAGACTCCAATATTTCCTCTCCTTAACCAACCCTGCCTTAGTCAAGAGACTCAGTGTTTCACACCCAGTTTGCTGTTTCCAATCTTTTCCCTACACGGGGCCACAAGAAGTAATTCTCGTAAAACAATATCAAATCAAATCTGAACCTTTCATATACCTGTCCTTTAAAAAAACATGTAACTCACCCGGCGCAGGAGCTCACACCTGTAATCCCAGCGCTTTGGGAGGCTGAGGTGGGTGGATCATCAGGTCAGGAATTCAAGACCAGCCTGGCCAACATGATGAAACCCTGTCTCTACCAAAAATACAAAAATTAACTGGGCATGATGGCGCGTGCTTGTAATCCCAGCTACTCGGGAGGCTGAGGCTGGAGAATTGCTTGAACCAGGACCTGGGAGGCGGAGGTTGCAGTGAGCTGAGACTGTGCCACTGCACTCTAGCCTGGGCTACAGAGCCACACTCAGTCTCAAAAGAAAAACAAAACAAAACAAAACAAAAAACACATAACTCACCAGTTTAAAATCCCAATATATATGCAGTCCATTCCTAGCTGCCTCAGAGCATCGTTCTAAGGTGGGCTTCTCTGCGTTGCCGGGGTCTGCCAGGCAGCGATCTCTAGCACTGGCCTCTGCAATCAGTTGTCCCACATAGAGCTCCCCGGTTAGGTGATAGTAGACATTCTGGAAAAAAAAAAAAGCAGAGGACTCACCATAGGCATCGTCAGCCAGCAGGACGCCCTAGCCAGAGGGAGAGCTGGAAGTCTGATCTCAGACACCCAGTCACACTGGGAGCACTGAACCTTCCTGGACAACATGAAGCCACCTCTGCTTCCTTCTCCTTAGTCTCCCCTTGAATCCAGGGAGAAGGCCAGGCCTAGGAGGGTTCCAACAGAATCAGAGCTTACATGGATGAAGAAGCTTGTCTTTGAAGGAAAAACAAAACTGAACTCCAGAATCTGTCACTGTAGGCCTCAGCTATGCGTTTGTTGTCAGAAAACCTTTTAAATTCCTGATTTGACACTGTCTTGCTCAGTGAGCTTGGAGAAGTAGGTTATTAATGTGTCTCCATTTTTTCATCTAAGTGGAAATGATATCTATTGTGCATGCCTCAAAAGGCAGCTATGAGGGCAGCATGCAAAGTTTCAGAGGACAGACGTGAATATTGTCTCTTAAAAAAAAAGTTCCGGCTCGACGCAGTGGCTCACACCTGTAATCCCAGCACTTTGGCAGGCAGAGGCGGGCGGATCACGAGGTCAGGAGATCGAGACCATCCTGGCTAACCCGGTGAAACCCCGTCTCTACTAAAAATACAAAAAACTAGCTGGGCGCGGTGGCGGGCGCCTGTAGTCCCAGCTACTCGGGAGGCTGAGGCAGGAGAATGGCGTAAACCCGGGAGGCAGAGCATGCAGTGAGCCGAGATCGCGCCACTGCTCTCCAGCCTGGGCGACAGCACAAGACTCTGTCTCAAAAAAAAAAAAAAAAAAAGTCCCCTGGCCGCACCTTCCACATGGTGCCAGGGCTCTTCATCCATCCCTTGGAGGAGCATCTGCTCAGCCTCTATCCTCTCTAGCTCTGTTTCCTTCCCTATAGGAGAAGCACAGGTGGCTTCACCTGCCCACTCTCCCAGGCTTTCAAGGAGCCCTGAGAAGATGGCAGGAGCTGTGGGAGGAGGGGAAAAGGAAGGGACCAGAGGTGATTGTCAATGCAGATATCACCATGGAGAATGAATGAACATGACAGAGCATAGCCTTTCTACCTATCCTCCCTGTAACTGAGATGGAACTACGTTGCCATGGCAGGTCTGGGTTTCACCCTTACCCAGGATCTCCGCTCCTGCCTCCCCATCACCTATCACGGAGTCTAGACCCAGGAACGGTTACCAGGGGCTGAGCCACGACAGACTTGCCCAGGCAGGTCCAGGAAGACTGTGGAAGATACCTGTGAACTGAATCCATGGCAGTAATGCATGATGGGGGTGTTGCCTGGAACGGGCCCCTGATCCAAGCAGACATTTTCATCCAACAGGTTTTTCATCTGAAGGGACAAAACACACGGCAACGCTGTTAGAAAGAGGCAGAGAATGAGGCCCCATCCCTCCCAGGGCCTACATTTTCCCCAACACACCGAGGGCACCAGGAACCAGCAGCCGCAAGGAGCAGAGGGCTGGGATCCCGGCAGGCATTTTCTAAGCACTGGGAAACTGACCGATGCTGAAGGGAGGTGCTGCCACGATACCCACATCCTGGAAACACCCACCACCTCGCACCATCGCCACACACAGGGAGGGGCGCCTCTGCAGCGTCAGGTGGGCAAGGCCAGTGGCTGCAGTTGGTGGAGAAACCGGGGTTGGCCGGGGGTGGGGGGGTGTCCAGGCAAGAGCTACAGTTTTCAAGGGGAGTAGAAGCAGAAAGAAGGAAAAGAGATGGGGATTGGGGAGCAAGGGACAAAAGGAAACTGAGAGGGCTGAGGGCAAAGAGCTGAGGAAAAAGCCACGGTAGGAAGGGCGTCTTGGGCAGGACGGGCAATCACGTGATTCAGGTTGCATTGTCTTTCACAAACATCTAAAATTCAAAATGCAGTTTCATAATACATACTCTTCCATAGCCCACGATGGTGTGGATTGGCTTCAAGAGTGGATAAACATTTTTCAGGTACCAGTCAAAGGTTTTACATTTCAGTTTTTCCCGGAGCGCAACTCTGGAAGAAATGTCTCCAAAATCTATTCCAGAGTTCTGTAAATAAAACACCAAGTGTTTCTGTGCTTGGACTCATGACAGCTCTGTTAAAGCAAACTAAATACGGCCTGAGAAGGACTCCATATTTCTGTATGTGAGTCCTTGTAGACGAACTGCAACCCAACTTAATAGACAAGATCGAAACTCTAACTTAGGACTGTGCACCTGTAACAACAGCTGGGTCTTGGCCAATCCCAGCAGCCATACTTCAACCACTCATCCACTGTCGAGTGTTCAAACTGTGTTCCAATAAGGCAAACACGGAGCTATAACCAATCCAGCTGTTTCTGTACCTCACCTCCAGTGTCTGCACGCCACTTCCCTTTTTTTTGGTCTATAAATCTTCTTCCACCACGTGGCTGTGCTGGAGTCTCTGAATCTGCTGTGAATCTGGGTGTTGCCCCATTTGCGAATCATGCATTGCTCAGTTAGACTCCTTTACATTTAATGTGGCGCAGTTTTTAGCAGCGCCTTCACTCCACCAGTGGGTATGGACCACGCATGATGGAACTGAGTATTTTTCTGATAGCCTGTGAAGTAACCTTGATATTTTATATTTCCAGAGAAGGTGGAAAAACCTTAAACCCTAGAAAATTCTGCTCTTTCAAATTCTACTCCTTCAAGGCCCGCACAGTGGGGCCACTCAGGTTTCTTTCTCCTCATGAGCTTATGCAGATTGCTCCTATTTGAGATGATATTTACATCAATAAAACCAAAAATACTCCTCACGATAGGGCCAGAAAAGGCCAAAGGAGATTAAAAGAGACTTTTTGGAGATTAAAAGAGCTTATTGACACAAGAAGACTTCTGGAGA